GAACCCAGGACCTCACGCATGCAAGGCAAGTGCTCTACCACTGAGCCACCTTCCCAGCCCCCCCCAAAATTTTTGAGACTACATCTCAACTAATTAAAAGCTGGGCAGAGCCAGGTGTCAGTGACTCATATCTGAGGCTACCCAGGAGGCTGAGATCTGAGGATCTTAGTTTGAAGCCAGCCAGGGCAAGAAAGTCTTTGAGACTCTTATCTCCAATTAACTACCAAAAGAGCCCACAGTAGAACTGTTGCTCAAATAGTAGAGCACTAGCATTGATCAAAAAGAAGCTCAGAGTTCAGGCCCTGGGTTCAGCGAGCGTGCATGTGCGTGCACGTATGTGCACACGTGCATGCCTGCGAGGGTGCACGCACGCACGTGCACACACACACACACACACACACACACACACACAAAACTGGGAAGAGTAGCTCATGTCTGTAATCTTAGCTGCTTAGGAAGCCAGGATCTGAGGTATGTATAGCACTTGCCTATTATGAGTGAGGTTCTGGGTTCAAATCCCAGCACTAAAAAATAAATTACAAACCAAGAAAAGCCACAGTACTCACAGGCCACAAGCCACTATGGACTAAAAGAGGCCACACTTCATTATCTCTGAAACCTTTGCTAGAGGATGGAGCCATTTATAACAGTCCAGATATGTAGACAAATCATGCCCAAAACAGAATGTGGGTCCTGTGGGAACTCCAAGTGGGTGACACATGCAGTGGGCCCAGAAGACCCCTCAAAGCCCACGGATACCCACACATAGGAGTCCCAGCCAGATGGGGAGGAAGAGGAAGGCACACCTCCCAAGATGGTAAGGCAAGAAGACAGACTCCCTCAGGCTCAGAGGAGATGTGAATTGATGTGGGACAGAGTTTAGCAAAAGCCAGGAAAATTCAGCACTGCCTTCAGTAGTCTTCTAGGAAACAACTGCAGAATGTGACAAAGGAACATCATGTGGTCCTGATATGCGGCACAAAGGACAAGATAACACTTTAGTGTTCCTGCCAAAGTATGTGTGTGTGTGTGTGTGTGTGTGTGTGTGTGTGTCCTGAATGTAATCACAAGGCTAGACTAGACACACCTAAACAGGGACAATGGATAAGATAATGGTTTTATGCTTTTCAAAAATATCAAGTTGGGCAAGGTGGTCCGTGCCTGTAACCCCAGCACTCAAGAGGCTGAGGCAGGAGGACTGAGAATTTAAGGAAAACCTGAGCTACACAGTCAGATCCTGATTCAAAAAAGAAAACAAGCTGGGCATTGGTGGCACATGCCCATAAACCAACTACTCAGAAAGCTGAGATCTGAGGATCACGGTTCAAAGTCAAGAAAAGCTATGAGACTCTTATTTCCAGTTAACTACCAGAACACTGGAAGTGGACCTGCAGCTCAAAGTGGTAGAACATTAGCCTTGAGAAAAAAAGCTCAGAGACAGTGCACAGAAAGACAACAGCTCACAAGCCCCACAACAAAATAAAGAAAGAAAGCACTGGGCGCCAGTGACTCTCGCCTGTAAACCTAGTTACTCAGGAGGCTGAGATCTGAGGATCGAAGTTCAAAGCCAGCCCAGGCAGAAAAGTCCATGAAACTCTCCAATAAACCACCAGAAAACCAGAAGTGGTGCTATAGCTCAAGGGGTAGAGCAATTGCCTTGAGCTGAAGAGGGACAGTGCCCAGGCCCAGAGTTCAAGCCCCAGGACCAACAAAAAAAGAGAGAAAGAAAAAAGCTCGGTGACAGAAGAACTGATTCATTAGCATGTAAGAGGCCTTGGGTCTAATCCTCAACTCCACAAAAATGTGAGAAAATAAATATAAAGGTCATAAAAAGTAAAGACAGAATGAGGGCTCTGTCAACATTCAGGAGGTGATAGGCTGATGTGATTGCCATTCTGGGCTGCATTCCAGGTCACAGAAAACATTGTCCTTGGGGCTGGGAAGGTAGCTCAGTGGTAGAGTGCTTGCTTTGCATGCATGAGGCCCTGGGTTCGATTCCTCAGCACCACATAAGCAAAAAGAAAAAAGCTGGAAGTGGCGCTGTGGCTTAAGTGGTAGAGCGCTAGCCTTGAGCTGAAGAGCTGAGGGACAGCGCCCAGGCCCAGAGTTCAGGCCCGCACCAAAAAAAAAACCATTATCCTTTTTTTTTTTGTCAGTCATGGGGCTTGAACTCTGGGCCTGGGTGGTGTCCCTGAGCACTTCAGCTCAAGGCTAGCACTCTACCACTTGAGTCACAGCACCACTTCTGTTTTCTGTGGTTAATTGGAGATAAGAGTCTCATGAACTTTCCTGCTGGCTTTGAACTGCAATCCTTAGATCTCAGCCTCCTGAGTAGCTAGAATTACAAGCATGAGCCACAGGCGTCCAGCTTTTTTGTTTGTTTCTATAAACGATGTTACTACAACAACTGGATAACTTTCAGTAAGTCCCATGGATCATGAAGAGTACAGAGGTTAATTTCCTGTGTCTGGTTAGAAGATGTACTTATATAAGCAGCTCTCCCTATTTTTAGAGAAACTCATGAATTTAAAGGTGATGGATAGCAGCTACACCTTATTCTCAGGGACCTAACAAAGCTGTGAATACAGTAGTAATAGTGGAAATCTGAGATTACATCAAAATAAAAAGTTGTGAGAGTTTTTTTGTTTTGTTTTGTTTGTTGTGGGGCTTGAACTCTGGGCCTGGGCACTGTCCCTGAGCTCCTCAACTCAAGGTGAGCTCTACTACTTGAGCCACAGCACCACTTCTGGTTTTCTGGTGGTTAACTGGAGATAAGAGTCTTAATTTCCTGCCCGGTCTGGCTTTGAACAGGGATCCTCAGATCTCAGCCTCTTGAGTAGCTAGGATTACAGTCGTAAGCCACTGGCATCTGGCTGAGTTCTTATTTTGTTTTGTGCTGGTTCCAGGGCTTGAACTCAGCCCCTTACACTCACTCAGCTTGCTCACTTACCTGACACAATACCACGTGAGCCATACCTTTAGCCTGGATTTTTTGCTGGTTATTTTGGAAACAGTGTCACATGCAGACTTTTCTGCTTGGACTTTATTATTATTATTATTTATTTATTTGCCAGTCCTGGTGCTTGAACTCAGGGCCTGAGCACTGTCCTGAGCTTCTTTTGCTCAAGGCTAGCACTCTACCACTTGAGCCACAGCTCCTCTTCCACTTTTTCTGTTTATGTGGTACTGAGGAATCCAACCCAGGGCTTTATGCATGCTAGGCAATCACTCTACCACTAAGCCACATTCCCAGCCCTGGACTAGCTTGAAATTGTGATCTTCAACCTCCTGAGTATCTAGGATTACAGGCATGAGAGATCAATGTCTCACTAAAACAAAGTTTTAAGAGCTGTGGTAGAGCTGTGGTGATACTAGGACAAGGCCCTGAATTCAGACCCCAGTACAGAAAGAGGGGAGTGGGGGAAAGGCCAAGCACTGGTGGCTCCCGCCTATAATACTAGCTACTCAGGAGGTGGAGGTCAGAGGGTTTGGATTCAAAGATAGCCCAGGCAGGAAAGTCCCTGAGATTCTTATCTTTCAAGAAGTTGGAAATGTAGCTGTGGCTTAAGTGGTAAAGCACTAGCTTTGAGCAAAAAAGGGCAGGGTCAGTGCCCAGGCTGAGTTCAAGCCCAGGACTGGCACAAAACCAAACAAAACTACTTTGAACGTGACAGACTGTGATGGGGGGGACCAGGGGAGGTAGATGAAGAATTCCCACTCTCTGCATACCCTTTGTGGTTTTTAAATATTGCACTATATGCATGTAACAATTCTGTTTTAAAGAAGATAACTAATTATTTTTAGACCTCCTTTGGGTCTCTGACCTGCCAAATTACTTCTAGGAATATGGGTACAGATAAATGTCCAAAGTTGTTCCCCATAGTCCTATTTATTATAATAACAAACTAGAATCATCTAATTATCCAGCAAGAGCAAAGATTTAAATAAATCACAGTACATGCATGACCACAGGACTATAAGGAACTGCTAGAGAGAACAAGTCAGGTCTGTTTAGGTTGAAATGCAAAGATGTAGCCAGATGCCAGGTGCTGGTGGCTCACACCTGTAATCCTAGCTACTCAGGAGGCTGAGATCTGAGGATCATGGTTCAAAGCCAGCCCTGGCAGGAAACTCCATGAGACTCTTATCTCCAATAAACCACCAGAAAAACAAAACAAAACAAAACAAAAAACCAAAAAACAGAATTTGTGCTGTGGCTCTGTGGTAGGGTGGTTGCCTTGAGCTGAAGAGCTCAAGGACAGTGCCCAGGCCCAGAGTTCAAGCCCCACAACTGACTAAATAAAAGAAAGAAAAAAGAAATACAAAGATGTCTATATTATAACTTGAAGTATAAAAGTATTTGTTTTTCTCTTTTGGAAGAACTCTACACTTTGAGCTCTGCACTTTTGCCCTTGTGTTAGGTAGATACTCTAACACTTGAGTCATGGTTTAGGCCTGTTTATCAGTCTGGACCACAATCCTCCTATTTTTGCTTCCTGAATAGCTGACATATGGATGTGAACCACTGCACCAGCCTTATTGGTGGAGATGAGGGAGGTGAGGTCTCTACTTTGTTTTCTGCCAGTCCTGGGGCTTGAACTCAGAATCTTTTCTCCCCACCCTGTACCCATGAGCAGAACCATCCTGCCAGGCTAGATGCCCCCTCTGAGCTGTCCTTACTGTTCCTGAGCAGCAGAGCCATCAAGACCCCAGACCCTGTGCTCCCACCTGCCCAGGAGACGGTGTGTGGTGCTTACTTATAGACGGCACTGTCTTTCTTGGGGCTGTGCTGGGGGAGGAGGCTGTGTGAGTACTGGTGCACGCCCAGATCATACAGCGATGGGAAGTCCTTGCTGCAAAGGTGGCAGCGGTAGCTCAGCTCCTCCTGGTGGCTCTTGATGTGTTCCAGAAATGCATCGAGCTTGGGGAACGTCTGTGCACAGCTCTTCACCACACACTTGTACACCTGGAAGGAAATGCCAGATGAGAGGCAGTAGCCTTCTGTTGTCAGAACCCCAAGTCACACCACTTTATGACCTTTGATTAAGATGAAGTGTTCTATCTGTTTTTTTTTTTTTTGTTTGTTGGTCATGGGGCTTGAATTCTGGGCCTGGGTGCTGTCCCTCAGCTCTTCAGCTCAAGGAAAGCACTCTACCACTTGAGCTACAGCGCCACTTCCAGTTTTCTGGTGGTTAATTGGAGATAGTCTCACAGACTTTCCTGCCTGGGCTGGCTTTGAACCATGATCCTCAGATCTCAGCCTCAGGCATGAACCACCAGAGCCGGTCTTAATTTGGTTTTGTTTGTGCTGCTATTGGGCTTGGTTTTTTTAATCAAGGTGCTCTGCCACTTGAAACATACCAGCATTTCCAGCTTTTTGCTTGTTAAGAAGAGATAAGTCTCTTGGATTTGTCTCCCAGAGCTGGCTTTAAACCATAATCCTCAGATTTCAGCCTCTTGAGTAGCTAGGATTACAGGTGTGAGCCATGGGTACCTGACATAATATCTGTCTAATTAGTTCACTACTGTGCTCTATCTGAGGACAATAGATCAAATGGACTTTTGGAAACAGGAGCTTGTTCTCTCTACTCTATATATCCCCTTGGTACTTCCATGCCTCCAGCAATGGTGGGAAAAGAAGAAAAGGAAAGGATGGAATCTAAATTCTCAGGTATGTAACCCAGCAAGTCTTGGTGGCTTAACTTTATTCCTCACAGGGAATGGTCAGGGACCTCTTGTTGAGAATCGCTATCTAACCAGCCTACCTTAAGTCTCTTCTCTCTCTGGGAGAAGTGGCAAGTTTTGCTGCTCATTAGGAACCAGGTTAAATGTAGATTTATAAAATACTAATCAGAGGCTGGGCACTGATGGCTCACACCTTAATCCTAGCTTCTCAGGAAGCTGAGATCTGAGGACTGTGATTCAAAGCCAGCCTGTCAGGAAAGTCTGTGAGACACTCAGGTCCAGTTAATTACCAAAAGGTGGGAAGTGGAGCTGTGACTCATTGGTAGAGCACAAATCTTGAGCACAAAACCTTAAGGACAATGTCCAGGCTCTGAGTTCAAGCTCCAGTATTGGGAGAAAAAAATGATCAGCTATAATTGTGTTTTGGGGATTTGGTTTTTGTTTTGTAGTGGGGTAGGAACTGAGGACTAAACAAGCTGGTGCTTGCTCTGCTTCCTTGCTTAGCTGGGGCTCTACCACTTGAGCAATGCCTTCAGTCCAACATTTTGTTAGTTACTTGGAGATAAAATCTTGCAGATCTTTCTGCAATACCAGGCTGATACTAAGCCATAATCCTCCAGGTCTCAGCCTCCTGAGAGCTACCCAGGTGTGAGGACTGGTGGCCAGCTTTCACCATTTTTTTTTTTTTTTTTTTTTTTGGGGGGGGGGTCTAGTCATTGGGCCTGAACTCTGGGCCTGGGCGCTGTCCCTCAGCTCTTCAGCTCAAGGCTAGTGCTCTACCACTTGAGCCACAGCACCACTTCCAGCTTTTTTTTTCTGCTTATGTGGTGCTGAGGAATCGAACCCAGGGCCTCAGGCATGCGAGGCAAGCGCTCTACCACTGAGCCACCTTCCCAGCCCTCTCATCATCTTTTGAACAGTCTGCCATCCTTGTGTTCCCTCCTCAGTGAGTTAAATGAAATTGTGACTCTTCTCCAGTTCTTTCTATGAGAAGTGTTTTTGGCATTTTGAGGATTACACTTTGATAAGTAGCACATACTCCTCAGGTGCTTATATAATACCATATACCCTATCTTCCTTATGAAAGGAACCCCAATTTGCTTAGAGTGACAACATGCCTACTTAAGAGTTCATCCTGCTGGGCACCAGTGGCTCACATATGTAATCCTAACTACTCAGGAGGCTGAGATCTAAGGATCTCGGCTCAAAGCCAGCCCTGGCAGGAAAGTCCGTGAGACTCTTATCTCCAATTAACCCCAGAAAGTGGTACTGTGGCTAAAGTGGTAAAGCATTTGCCTTGAGCTGAAGAGCTCAGAGATAGAGCCCAGGCCCAGAATTCAAGCCCCATGATGGACCAAAAAATAAAAAAGAGTTCATCTTTATTGGTTCCCCTGTGTCCAATGTTACCCATGTGACCCCTTGCTTTTCAATGATGGGAAAGTGGTCGACTTTTGGGATAACATATCTCCTACAACGAAAATAAGCAAAAGCTTCCCAGAAGAAATTCCCTCTACTTTTTGCATTTGTCCTGACTGGCGTATAGATACGATACATAGAGATATCACATCTATTGTTCAGCACTACAGGATTGTTCACCATTACAGCTAAGAATCGTAGAGTCTAAAGTTAAAAGCCTGGTCTATGATAACATGTCTGATCTACTATACAAGCCTAGCATTGCCTACTTATAAACTTCCTTTGAGGGCTGGGAAGGTGGCTCAGTGGTAGAGCGCTTGCCTTGTATGCATGAGGCCCTGGGTTCGATTCCTCAGCACCACATAAGCAAAAAGAAAAAAGCCAGAAGTGGCGCTGTGACTCAAGTGGTAGAGCTAGGCTAGCCTTGAGCTGAAGAGCTGAGGGACAGCGCCCAGGCCCAGAGTTCAGGCCCCACAACCGGACCCAAAAAAAAAAAAAACTTCCTTTGAAGGGAGAGAAATAAAATAGCATGAAGCCAGTTTGCTTTTGTGTGGTACCAAATAGCACTTCTCTAAATGACAGACCTCATGCACCGTTCTGACCAGTGCTTCTAGGAAAGGCTGCTGGGCTCCTTTGCTTATGACCAGAGCTGTGCCAGAGTGGCCGCCTAGAAAAAGCAAGCACTGTCCCAGGCCAGGTGACCATGGTGGACAACAAGGCCATACCCTCTGAAGTCAGACACCAGAAGAGGCAAGACACGGGCCCTTGCTACTAGAAACCCAGCCAAAGGCACAAGCACTGTAGAAAGGTTGACATGATTTCTGCTGTCTCTAGACAGCAGAGATCTTGCACCTCTGGGTTCCTGCCTGACTGGTGTGGCCCCTATGCCCATGCCCACATACCTGCTCATTCTTGTGCTGAGTCATGTGGGACTTGAGCTGGAAGTAGGTGCTGAACTTGCTGGGGCAGAACTGGCACAGGTAGGAGCTATCGATGAGGACCACCTGCTTGGGCTCCAGCTTGTCAGCATCATCCTCACCTGCTGGCGGCAAGGTCTGGGGCTGTGGTGTGCTGGACAGGGTCTGGCCCAAACCTGGGAAGAGAGGCAGGCCAGGGAGGAAGTCAGTGAGCAAGGATGGGGAGAGTCAGGACAGGAATCATGCTGTCTGGGAGATCACAGGACACCTATTGTGTGTTCTGGGTATGCCTGGTGTGGGATATGGACTCACATCCGGTCCAGGAGATAAAATACTGACACATTTACAGTCTGAGCCAGAGGGAGGGAGAGCCTCTGGCTTCAGTGCCAGCCTTGTCTTGGATGCCACAGACTCCTCCGTGGTGGGTCCTCACTGAACACCAGCTACACTACTGGTGCCTCCTTCTAATTGGCACCCTTTGCCTCACTGCCCTTTTGTCACCACCTTGCTCCTCCGTGTGTCTCATATCAGGGACCTCTGGCCCCATCTCTGCAGCCATGGCTCAGTGCCTGAGTGTTGGGTCATTGTGTCCAGGCACAGTGGAGTCTGGAAAGTAACAGGAGAGATGGTCTCCCATTCTGAGTTGGGATCCAGGCTCAGCAGGGAAAACAAAGATAGTAAACCAATTAGTGATGCCTGCCATGGACATAGTATTAGAGCAATGTATATTACATAATACATATTACATATTTGTCATCCTTCCTTTTATCCTGTGCCTTCCACCCTGTTTCCTCTTCTCTCTTCTCTTCTCCTCTCCTCCCCTTCCACTTCCTACTGGGTTTTGAACATCCCCTTGCTTTTTCTGCTCAAGGCTGGTGCTTTACCACTTGAGCCACACCTCCACTTCTGGCATTTTGCTGGTTAACTGAAGATAACAGTCTTGAGGATTTGTCTGAATGAGTTGGTTTTAAACCAAGATTCTCAGATCTCAGCCCCCTAAATATTAGCTAAGATTAGAGGCATGAGCCATTATTTTTTTAAGATGAGGATCTCACTATGTAAGCACCTTTTTGATCAAGTAGACTGAAGCCCAGAGGTCAAGGAGGTTACCCAGAGTGAGAGAGTTAGCAATAAAACCTGTGAAGCTGGGGCTGAGGTGGAGCTCAGTGGCAGAGCACTTGCCTAGGCTGCACAAGGCCCTGGATTCCATTCCCTGCGCCACAAACCCAACGAGGATGCAGAGAGATGTGGGGGAGCATGGCTTCCCCCACTTCCACCCACCTGCATTTTCCTCCTCCTCTTGCCTGCTGGGGTTCAAGGCCATGACCTGTACAGTCACAGAGTTGCGAGAAACGGTGCCACCACTGCGCCCTGGGGGCCACACCTTGTGGGTCTGCATGTGCTTCTTGACATTGGACTTCTGTGCGAAGGCCCGGCCACACGCAATGCACTGGAAGGGCTTCTCGCCTGTGTGGCTGTGGGGACAAAGTCTGTCAGCACCCTTGCCTAGCAATGGCCCAGACCTACTTCTGGCCGCTGGATGTATCCTCATATCCAAGCCCGACAGACCAGAGGTGGGAAGACCTGGGCTCTTGATCCCATCACCCATGATAGAGGCTGACCCTCTCAAGGGCACATCACACTGAGATGTCACATTTCCTCTAGAGATTGTCATCTGAATGAAAAAGCATCCTAGTGGCTGCCACGTACAGCATGTATACCATTATTAACTTCTCCTTCAATCCACTTTTAAATTCTTTTAAAAATTGTCTTGTATTGCTTTGAGACAGCCCAGGCTGGCCTCAAACTCTGGATCCTCCCACCTCAGACCCCCAATTTCTTGGATTAAAGGTATCATCAGGGGCTGGGAAGGTAGCTCAGTAGTAGAGTGTTTGTCTTGCATGCATGAGGCCCTGGGTTCCATTCCTCAGCACCACATAAGCAGAAAAAGCTGGAAGTGGTGCTGTGGCTCAAGTGGTAGGGCGCTAGCCTTGAGCTGAAGAGCTGAGGGACAGTGCTCAGGCCCAGAGTTCAGGACCCATGACCAACAACAACAACAAAAAAAAGGTATCATCACCACAACCAGATAATCATCTCTTTTTTGGGGGGGTGGGGGAGACCTGGCCTGGGGCTTGAACTCGGCCTGGGCACCATCCCTGAGCTTCTTTTGCTAAAGGCGAACAGTTGTGAACCACAATGCCACTTCTGGCTTTTTTCTGTTTACATGGTACTGAGGAATTGAACCCAGAGCTTCATACATGCTAGGCACGCACTCTACCACTAAGCCACATTCCCAGCCTGTCTTTTCATTTTTGATACTGGGAATCAAACCCATGGCGTTGTGCTGGCTAGGCAAGTGTTTTCCCACTGAACTATATCCCAACCCATAAAACAACGTTACTAAGGTCTAGAGCTACACTATTACAATGGATATTAGCTATAAGGGGTTATTGAAATTTAAGTTGGTTAATGTTAAATTAAAAATTCCATTTTTCAGGGCTGGGAATGAGGCTCAGTGGTACAGTGCCTGCTTAGCAAACATGAGGCTCTGGGTTTGATTCCTTAGTACCGAATAAAAGAAAAAGCTGGAAGTGGTGCTGTGGCTCAAGTGGTAGAGCATTAGCCTTGAGCACAGAGAGGCTCAGGGACAGAGTCCAAGTCCCAAGTTAAAGCTCCAGGACTGGCAAAAAAAATTCCATTTTTTCAGCTAGGTGCCACTAGCCCAAGCCTACTCAGTAAACTCAGATGTGAGGACTGCTTTGAGAAGCTGCCTGGACAGGAAAGTCTGTATGACTTTTATCTCCAATTAACTACCTGAAAGTGTAACTGTGGCTTAAGTGGTAGAGCACCAGCCTTGAGCTATGAAGCTCAAGTACCAGAACAAGTCCAGCAAAAAAATAAATTAATCCATTTTTCAGCAATACTAGCCCCATTCTAAGTACTCAAGATCCCTCAGGGCTGGTAGTGGCCACACTGGGTCACAGTTGATGACAGCACCAACCTGAGCACCACCCCCTTCATTGAAAGCTCTATCTAGGCAGTGCTGTTGTGGACTGGTGGATCTCCACCAAGCTCGACTTTGCCCCCAAGGCTCACGCCTGTAATCCTAGCTACTCAGGAGGCTGAGATCTGAGGATCTCGGTTCAAAGCCAGCCTGGGCAAGAAAGTCTGTGAGACTCTTATCTCTAATAAACCACTAGAAAATTGGAAGTGGTGCTGTGGCTCAAGTGGTAGCCTTGAGCTGAGGGACAGTGCCCAGGCCCAGAGTTCAAGGCTCAAGACTGACAGAGAGAGAGAGAGAGAGAGAGAGAGAGAATAACCTAATTACATCCTTCAGACTTTCCCAGGCCACAGTCAGAAACTTGCTAAAAGCATCCCATGTGACACGAGTCACGCTGTGAGCAGCCCTGGTTGCGTTAGCTCCTCTGTGTTACAGGTAGAACACCAAGGACCAGATGGGTTCCCTGCATGTTCTTGTGACCAGAGATGTTCTAGTTAGACATGAGTGACCCAAGACTTCCTGGAGCCATCCTGGCAGGGCCAGCCGGTGGACAGCCCTTCTATAAGCCCAGAATTGGGGCAGCCCATGTGTCTGCAAATTTATCACCTGTCCCCCACCTGTCATGGCAGGCAGGCCCCTTTTCCTGATCCTGAGAAAAACTTGGATCTAGTTGGAAAACCAGCCAAATTAGACCACAGGCCTTGCAGACCCTCATGGGACAGATGGGCTGGGTTTGAGAAAGGACCTGGTTTCTACTGCAGATGGCCTCAGCCAGAGCTGCTCACAAGCCCCTCCCTTCTCCCTGCACACCTTCGGATGTGCTGCTGCAGGTCGAAGTTCTTGGTGAAAGACTTGTCACAATAGGAGCATTTGAGCTTCTGTGCCTTTGGCTTCCCTGCAGCAGAAAGACAAAGCAGGAGAGGGAGGTGAGGCTAGGGTGTCTAAGGTTGTCTTCACCCTGGGACCTGGGCCGACAATCCACAGCCTTATAAATACATGCACAGAGAGAGACACAGTGAACTTCTCATAGGGCCCAGGAGAAAAATCCAGGACAAACTCTGAACCCCTCACAGCCTCTCCCTGCCCCAGGATAAAACCTACCCTGTTTGTGATAACCATCAGCATACTGAGTCCTCTGACTCCTGCCAACTTCACCATGCCCTCCATCCAGTTGTGGAAGATGCTTTGCTAATCCTGAAAGAATTCAAGCATGTCCTACCTCTGGACCTTTGCACCTGCTGGCTTCCCTTGTCTGGAATGCCATCCCTCAGATACCCCAAAAGCTACTTCCTTCTCTTCCCCAGATGGGTAAGTAGCCTTGTTTTCCAGCCTCACCTCAGAAACTCTCAATCACAGTGCTCTGTTAACCTCCTTCCTACAGCAACTTATAAATAAATATTTAGTCCTGTCTGCTTCTCCCATTTAACAGAGTACTCAGGACAAGAGAGCAGGGGCCAAGGCACCAGATGTCCCTGTGCCTGATGGGAAGCCTGGCACACAGCTGTCAATGTGCAACCATGAAAGGAAGAAAGTGTCCACTGGGGAGCCCCTGCATCCACCCCCTACTTCTGATACCACTCTACCCCCATTCAGTGTCTCGAAAGAGTAACAAACACACCTACTTGCTGACAGGTAGCCACTCTTCTTTTGCCTTTGATCACAAATACCCTACAAAGTCCCTGGAGAAAACAGGTATTTCCCATCTTCCTTTGCAACCAGACAGGCTCATGTGACTAAATTCTCACCAGTGAGATACAAGTAGAAGTCTCATACAGAGCTGAGGGTGTGTTGCTCAGTGAGCACCTGCCTAATAAGCACAAGACCTTGACCCTGTACTGCCAAAAAATCCATCTCACATGGAACATCTAGAAGCTGGGAGGTACCCTTTTCCCCTTCCCATTCCCCCGCTTCTTACTGCCTGGGATATGAAATGGATGACTGTAGCTCCAGTAGCCATCTTAGATAATGAGAGACCCTGATAAATGAAGCCATGCTCTGGGGACAGAGGAACACAAAGACAAAAGAAACATGGAAGTTTGGTGACCATGTCATACAATCCCCAGATTGCCTGCTTCTGGTCTTGTTCTACACAGGAGAGAAACAAAATTCTATCAATCTGAAGATTCTAACATTTGAGATTTTCCAAACTTAACCCTAACCATCATAAAAGGGAAGACCAGAACCACGCAGCCTGTGCACAGGACACTGCCAAGAAAAGATGCCCATGGCAGGCAGGCGGCCCACCTTCTGGGAGTCCACCGGCACCTTTAGCCCGTCGGGGCTTCAGCGTGGGTGGGGAGTCGAAGGTGGCCGCTGTTCCCCCGGTCGTGCTGGTCATGGGGGCGACAGGGCTTGGTCCTTTTGGTTTGAACCCCTGCTTGCCAGGGCTGTACACTGGAGGCGTGGGGTACACTGGGGCCTCCACACACTGGTTTGGCACCTAGAAGGACAACATTGTGAGGCAAAGAGCCCTGGAAGGAATGGGAGAGTCCCCCCCACACCCAGGACTTGCTCTGTGGTTCTGACTGATCTCAGTCACTACCTCACTACCCTAGGCCCTCCACCTGGTCAGCCACCCCAAGAATCAAGAGCCACAAGCAGTTTTGGAGCCAGGCTGCCTCAGTTCAAATCTAGAATCTACCACCTAAGTGGGATTGTTATGTTTTTGTTTTTTGTTTTTTTAACAGTCCTGGGGCTTGAACTCATGGCCTAGGCACTGTCCCAAGCTTCTTTTGCTCAAGGTTAGCACTCTACCACTTAAGCCACAGCGCCACTTCCGGCTTTTTGTTTATGTAGTGCTGAGGAATCAAACCCAGGGCTTCATACATGCTAGGCAAGCACTCTACTGCTAAGCCACATTTCCAGCTCCTGGCATTTTTTTTTTTTTTTGGTTGGTTGTGGGGCTTGAACTCTGGGTCTGGGTGCTGTCCCTGAGCTCTTCAGCTCAAAGCTAGCATTATACCACTTGAGCCATGGAGCCACTTCCAGTTTTCTGGTGGTTAATAGGAGATAAGAGTCTCAAGGACATTCCTATCAAGGCTGGCTTTGAACCGCAATCCTCAGATCTCAGCCTCCTGAGTAGCTAGAATTTCAGGTATGAGCCAGTGACACCTAGCTAGCATTGAGTTTTAATTCCTGTATCAATTTCCATTCTGTAAAACTTCCCACATAGGGCTGCTGAGAGGGTCACCTGAAGCAGCAGGTGCAGCGATTAGAGGAAGGGCAGCAGTGGTCAGTAAATGCCAAATAAACACAAGCTCATAGCTAATGAAATAGGAGATATTTATGCCAATAATTTAGGGGAGTCTTCTCCCCAAAGGCAGGTATTCCTGACTGATCTACTACCTGAGAGTAGCTTATACTTCGGCCACAACCTCTGCTTCCTCCTACCTTCCCAGAGTTTACATTTTCTATCTGTACATAGGATTTTTGATTCAAGTTCTCCCATGAGGTGGGCACTCCACGAAGCCTGGGGTGGGGTCTTGCTCCCCAGGACACCCCAGCACGGTGTCTTGCGTACAGCTGGTTCTCGTGTGATGATGACCATGATTAGTTCCCCATTACCCCCCCCCCCGCCCTGCCCTTCTACCTCCACATACCTCCAGAGGGGGGTAGGGCTGCATCCCCAGTGCCTGGATCTCCACTGTTCCGCTCCCAGCCAGAGGTGTAGTGGCACTGTATACTTCTACCACGCCATTCCCTCCAGGGTTAGGGCGTCCAGGAGGGCCCAGGTTCTGGGGTGGTGGAGGTGGAGGCTGAGGGGGTGGGGGTGGGGGTAGAGGCGGAGGTGGTGGAGGAGGAGGTGGAGGCTGGGTGAGGTAGCTGGGCACAGAATGCATGTTCAGGCTGCTCTGCAATCAGAAAAGAAATCAAAGCATTAAGGTTGATAGCCGCGTGTTGGATCAGCAGCGCAGGACCTTGCCAGTAGCTGGCCTGTGCAAAGACAGCTACTCACACAGCAGCTCAGAGGAAGGGGCTCTGGAGAATTCCAGACCTGGGGGGTGATCAGCTTGATGCTGCTGTCTTCCCTATGAGTGTCAGCTAAACCAGCCCAGTATGTACAGAAAAGGGTTAAATGGGACATCTAATGTTGCCATTATATGAGGGGCCTGTTTATAGGGCTGGCTCTTCATGGGCGTCAGAGAACTTGGCTTGATAAGATTGTTTTATCTACCCAGCAACACTGACCACTCTGTCCAGCTTTCCTAGTGCCAACAGCACAGTTTGGGAAGAATGCCTACTTCCCCTCTGGGCGTGTGCAATTTTGCTCCTTAGGTATATTAGAAAATCTCAGGAAGCCACTATGTGGTATTTAGTTATTTGTGCTGTGTTCAGGGCTTGAACTCATGACTTAGGCTCTCTCTAAAGTTCTGTGCTCAAGGCTAGCACTCTACTACTTGAGCCACAGCTCTACTTCTAGCTTTTTGGTGCTTAACTGGAGATAAGAGTCTTATGGACTTTCCTGTCCAGGCTGCTTCCAACTATGATCCTCGGATCTCTGATCTCCACCTCCTGGGTAACTAGGATTACAGGTACCAGGCTGGTTTTTTGTTTTTTGTTTTTCAATTTTATCTAAAATTCTAAATTGGGGGTAAGTGAAGGAAAGGGGAAAGAGTGACATTGTCAAAACAGGAAATGTACTAATTACCTAACTACCTAGCCCCTCTGTATAACACCTTAGTAACTATATATATATATATATATATATATATATATATATATGTATATGTATATGTATATATGTGTATATATATGCATATGTATATATATTTATTTATGTTATTTTATTTTTTGTTGGTCATGGGGCGCTTGGGCACTGTCCCTCAGATCTTCAACTTAAGGCAAGCGCTCTACCACTTGAGACACAGAGCCACTTTTGGTTTTCTGGTCATTTATTGGAGATAAGAGACTCATAGACTTTCCTGCCCAGGCTGGCTTTGAACTGTGATCCTCAGATCTCAGCCCCCTAAGTAGCTAGGATTACAGGTGTGAGATACCAGCACCTGGCCAAAAATATTTTTTTTAAAAGAATAATACAGGAGTTGCTGTGCTGGGAATGTGGCTTAGTGGTAGAGTGCCTAACATTCATGAAGCTCTGGGTTTGATTCCTCAGTACACATAAGCAGAAAAAGCCAGAAGTGGCGCTGTGGCTCAAGTGGTAGAGTGCAAATTCTTGAGCAAAAGAAGCAGATGGACAGTGCCTGGCCCTGAGTTCAAGCCCCAGGACTGGCAAAAAGCAAAAACAAAAAAACAAATAGGAGTTGCTAAGTACTGGTGGCTCATACCTGTAATCCTCATTGATTGCAAGAGGTTAAGGTCTGAGGATCCTGACATTTGAGGATCCTGGTTCTAGCCAGGGTAGAAAAGTCCATGAGACTGGGCTGGGAAGGTGGCTCAGTGGTAGAGCGCTTGCCTTGCATGCATGAGGCCCTGGGTTCGATTCCCTAGCACCACATAAGATAAAAAGCCGGAAGAGGCGCTGTGGCTCAAGTGGTAGTGCGATATCCTTGAGCTGAAGAGCTGAGGGACAGCACCCAGGCCCAGAGTTCAGGCCTCACGACCGGACCCCCCCCCCAAAAAAAAAGAAAAGTCCATGAGACTCTTCTCTCCAATGAACCAGCAAAAAGCCAGAAGTAGAGATGTTGTTCACATGGTAGAGTGCCAGTTGAACAAAAAAGCCAATGAAAAGTGCAAGACCTTGAGTTCAAAAGAAAAAGACTAAGACAGGAGTAAAAAAACTGAACCCCAATATAGCAGCTTCCCCCCATAGCAGGAACAGCCCAAGGAAAGATGGAGAGTAACCCCTCTGTGTGGGGAAGCTGAGACAGAGACCCTTTTTTTTTTTCAATTGTAGGGCTTGAGCTTTTATGCTTAAGGCTAGTGTTCTACCACTTTGAGCCACAAAGTTTTCAGATGGTTAATTGGGGAGAAGAGTCTCACGGACTCTCCTGCCCAGGATGGCTTTGAACTGCCATCCTCAGATCTTTGTCTCCTGAGTAGGCAGGATTACTATCATGAGCTACCAGCTCCTGGCTTCTACAAGATTCTTAATCTGCAGAGGTTAATATGCAAACCTGAGATCAAGACCATGTAAGATTTTCCCAGTACATACAAGGCGAGAAGCCCACTGGCTCCTTACCTGCACAGGTGGGGGCCCCTGGGGCATGGGCTGGTCCAGGGATGTAAAGGCTGACATGGCGGACATGAGCACATCGTCGCTCACCAAGATGTTCCCTTGCACCAGGGTCTGGATCAGTGGGGATGGGGGCACTGTGATATATGTGGAGATCTAAACAGCAAGAAAAAAAAAAAAAACAGCAAGAGGTAGAGACACATCTGAGGCTCTGGCAGGAAGCTGAGGGAACAGTGCAAAAGCCCTAGTTTCTCAGGACCTACAGACCTAGGGTCCACTGCCACCTTTGCTGGTCCCTGCTTTGGGCCTGGGCAAGTCATCTACCTCAGCTGAATCCTCATCTACCAAATGAGAATGAGTAACACTCCTCTGAAAGCCATACATCTTATGATCCAACCATAATGCCTCCTGCTTTCCATTGTAGGCAAATACTAACACAGTCACAGAATTCCAGCCTTGGAATAACTGTAAACAACCTAAATATCCATCTTTAGAGGATATAGATTTAAAATAGCATGGGCTGGGATGTAGCTCAGTGTCAAAGTGCTTGCCTAGCATGTGCAATGCTTCAGGTTTGATACCCAGTGCCACAAAAAAAAATAAAAAATATATATATATAATAATGCATAAAGCCAGGGTTGGGTTGGGTGACAGTAACTCACACCTGTAGTCCTCATACCTGAGAACTGTGGGGTTTTGTTTTGTTTTTGTTTTTTTGCCAGTCCCAGGGCTTAGAGTTCAGGCTTGGGCACTGTTCCTGAGCTTCTTTTGCCAGCAGTCTACCACTTGAGCCACAGCACCACTTCCAGCTTTTTCTGCTTATGTGGTACTAAGGAATCAAGCCCAGGACTTCATGCATGTTAGGCATGCATTCTACCACTAAACCACATTCCCAGCTCATGGATTATGGTTTTTGAAGCCAGACAGGGAAGACAAATCCAAGAGACTCTCATCTCCAATAAGCCAGTAGAAAGCCAAAAGTATAGGTATGGCTTGAGGGAAAAAGCCAAGCAGGAGCACAAGGCCTTAGTACCCCATCCCTTCCCCGCCCCCCATACACACACATTCACACTCACAAAACCTGCTGAAGGACTGAACAAAGAAACAATGAATATACCTGGCGATTGGCAGGAGGTGGGACTTGCTGGACCGTGGCTGGTGCTGCTGAGGGTGTGTAGATGCTGTTGGTAGCCAGGGAGACTGTGGCCAGGGCCGGGGCATTCCCCTGACACTGTTCCCGCTTGTGGGTCATAAACGCTGGCAGTGAGTTGAACTGCTTTTTACACTTCCCGCAGAGAAATACATCCTCATCATCTAGGGGTCAGACCGTGGGGCAGTGCCAAGGGGCCAAAGCAGAACAGCAAGAAAAAGCAAGAGTAAGTCAGAAAACAACACAGCGAGGACCAGGAGGCTGTGGCTGAGCTCAAGAGCAGTGAATCAGAAGCCGTCCATGACCAGCCATGCTTGTGTCAAATATCAGCCTCGGGTTTTCCACAGCACTAGCAGGGGCGTTGATTGAAAAATTCAGTTGAGAAATTCAGAACCTTTATCCTGCCTGAATTTATTCATCAGCCACTAGTGGATCATACCTCCCCATGGTTCTGAATCTACTGCTTCCCCATGCCCAGCTGCAACTCTCAGATCAACTGGTTCTGCAAGGCGCCACTCCTCCAAGAGGTCTTTGGAAAATTTGCAGCCACAATTCCTATCTGTGTCCCACTTAGCCTATCAGTTTTCTCATCCCTATCAAGCTATGCATCCCCTTGGGAAAGGAAATGTGTCTTATCACCATAGCTGTGCTACCCATTGAGCAAGTAGGCCTCAATGGACATTGACTGAGTGAATGAAAAGTTAACTGAAGCTGGGCTCCATGACTCATGCCAGTAATCCAAGCTACTCAGAAGGCTGAGCAGGCAAAAAAAATTTCAAGACCCACCCCCAACCCCCCTGCCACCCCCGTCACCAATAAAAAGTTGGGCATGGTGGTGCATGTACCTGCCATGCCAACTACCCAGGAAGTACAGATAAGAGGATGGAGTTTTAAGCCAGCCTGGACAAAAAGTGAGACTCAAATAAAAAATAATGAAAGCAAAAGGACTGGAGGCATGGTTCAAGTGGTAGAGTAACTAGGAAGCACAGGGTTCTTAATTCCAATTCCAGTATTACAGAGCTAGAGAGAGAGAGAGAAAGGGAGGGAGGGAGGGAGGGAGGAAGGGAGAAAGAAAAGGAGAAAGGGAGAAGGGGAGAAAGGGAGAAAGGTAGACAGGAGAAAGAAAAGCTAACAAAATGACTAACTACAGTAATAGCACACATCACTAAGGACCTACCTCAATCATATATACTGGTCAAAACCTTAAAGCATTGTTACTGAATTAAAATAATTTTCTTCTCATGTCTCATTGTTACTGAATTAAAACAATTTTTTATCTGGTGTTAGAGATTGAACCCAGGATCTTACATTCTACCTCTAGCTACATCCTCCCATTTAGTTATTTAATTTTGATTATATCTTCTTATCAGTAATACAAATTTTAGCAGGAAACATGGCTTCCTAGCCAAAGAATATGTTTCCTAGCCTGTTTTGCAGCGGGGCATGTCATGTGGCTCAATTCTGAGCAAAAGAGTAAGCAAAGAAATGTGGTATATATGCAACTTTCCTCTGAAGGGAAAGGATATAGCTGGGTAAGGCTGCATAAGCCCATACTACCACTCGCCTGGCCCAGGTGGCTCACACCTGTAATCCTAGCTATTCAGGAGGCTGAGATCTGAGGATCGTGGTTCAAAGCCAGCCCAGGCAGGAAAGTCTGTGAGATTCATTTTTTTTTTTTTTTTGGTCGGTAATGAGGCTTGAACTCTGGGCTTGGGCGCTGTCCTTGCACTCTTCAGCTCAAGGCAAGCACTCTACTGCTTGAGCCACAGCACAACTTCCAGTTTTCTAATGGTTCATTGGAGATAAGAGTGTTATGGACTTTGCTGCCTGGGCTGGCTTTTAATCTTGATCCTCAGATCTCAGCCTCCTGAGTAGCTAGTATTCCTGCGCCGGGCTAAATACCATACAGAGTACAAAGGGGTTACAATTACACGAGCAAGGTAATGAGTACATTTCTTATGGAGCATTCTTGCCTCCTCCCGTTTCCCCTTACCGTCCCTGCCCTCCCACCTCCCCTCCACCTTCTGTGAGATTCCTATTTCCAATAAACTACAGAAAACCAGAAGTGGCACTGTGGCTCAAGCGGTAGGGTGTTCGCCTTGAGCTGAAGAGCTGAGGGACAGTGTCCAGGCCCAGAGTTCAAGCCCCACAACCAACAACAATAAAATAATCCCACCACTCTTCATGAGTGAGTAGGATGTCAGTTTGGGGCCTAGTAAGACTCCATCTCAAAACAACAAAATAAAATAAAAATAATGAGGGCTGGGAATGTGGCTTAGTGGTAGAGTGCTTGCCTAGCATGCATGAAGCCCTAGGGTTGATTCCTCAGTACCACATAAACAGTAAAAGCTGGAAATGGCGCTGTGGCTCAAGTGGTAGAGTGCTAGCTTTGAGCAAAAGAACCTCAGGGACAGTGCCCAGGCCCTGAGTTCAAGCCAAAGGACTGGCAAATAATAATAATACAGTGTGACTTTGACTTTCTTTGTCCCTTCATGAGTGAGCTGGGCAGCTTTTCTGGAACACATGCTGAGGATAGCAGTCAAAAGAAAGACACCCAACTGCCTACTCAGGGCCTTAATCCCACAGAAACTGTAATAACTGTTGTAAAAAGAGTTGGAACTGAATCCCAAGTACTTGTGTAAGATTCTATGAGGTAGGACATTTCCCATTTTCACAGATATGGAGACTGAGACATAGAGAGGTGGCCCAGCACATAGCCAGGAGCTATAGAAATTAGATTCAAGCTGGGTGCTAGTGGCTCATGCCTGTAAATCCTGTAAATGCCTGTAAATTCAGGAGGCTGAGATCCGAGTCTCATGGTTCTAAGTCAGCCCAGGTGGTCTGTGAGATTTATTTATTATTGTTATTTATTTATTTGCTTATTTATTTATTTTTTTGCCAGTCTTTGGGGCTTGAATTCAGGGCCTGGACACTGTCCTAAGTTTCTTTTGCTCAAGGATAGTGCTCTACCACTTAAGCCACAGTGCCACTTCTGGCTTTTTCTGTTTATGTGGTGCTGAGGAATCAAACCTAGAGCTTCATGCATGCTAGGCAAGCACTCTACCACTAAGTCACATTCCCAGCCCTTTGTGAGATTCTTATCTCCAATTAACCACCAAAACCCCAGAAGTGGAGTGGAGCTGTTGTTCAAGTAGTAGAGTGATAGCCTTGGGCTTAAAAAAAAAAAATCCAGTGTCCAAGCTCTGAGTTCAAGCTCCAGTACTAGCCTTGAGCAAAAGAAGCTCAGGGATAGTGCCGAGGCCCTGAATTGAAACCCCAGGATTGGGAGAGAGAGAGAGAGACAGAGACAGAGACAGACAGAGACAGAGAGAGAAAAAGAGAGAGAGAGAGAGACTTAAATCTGAGGATCAGATCTGGTTCAAAGCTAGCCTGGGCAAGAAAGTTCATTAAGACTCTTATCTTTAACCAAAAAGGAAGTGGAGTGGTAGCCTAAATGATAGAGCCCTCATCTTGAGCAAAGAAGCTCAGGGACAGCACCCAGGTCATGGTTCAAGTCCCAGTACTGTCACGTGCGCGCACACACACACACACACACACACACACACACACCCATAAGATGTATAATTGACCACGGAGAACTTAAACAGGGAGTTCAAAAAAGTCCTCTCAGGGGTTTAGCTCACCACACACACACACACACACACACACACACACACACACACACACCTATAAGATGTATAATTGACCACACACACACACACACACACACACCCATAAGATGTATAATTGACCACACACACATACACACACACACACACACACCCATAAGATGTATAATTGACCACACACACACACACACACACACCCATAAGATGTATAATTGACCACAGAGAACAGGGAGTTTAAAAAAGTCCTCTCAGGAGTTTGGCTCACCAAACGTTCTCTCCATAAAAGGGAAACTGGGAAATGACTTTGGGGTTCTTGTCATTCCCATATCATGATACCAGCTCCCAACATTCACCAAGCAGATACTCACCCAAGGGCTGGATGGCAGGGGGGGCATTGACACTTTGGCCTGTTGGATCGGGGACTGCTCCTTGGCCATCCAATAATGACTGCACAGCCAAAACAGTCTGATTGTCCATTCCTGGAACAAGGAAACACAAGTCTGGGGAGTGGTTCAAATAGCAGAGAAACTGTCCAGAGAGTTCAAATCCCAGTACTGCCACAAAGTAAAAAACGTAACACAGACTCTAGAAGCTGGACCCAGCATCTGCTCTGACTTCACCTGTATAGGCCAGACCCACCACCAGGTCACCTGTGTGAAGATGAAAGTCTCCCCCTATTTCAGTGTTAATATCACAAGATATGGGGCTGGAAACAGTCCTGGAATAAAGATTAAATTCCTCAGCTTCTCACAGCTAGAAAGGACCACATGCAGGCCCAAGAGACTTGAAGGTGGTATAGGCAGCTTCCATCTCCCATTCTGCCTCATAAAATGGGAACACGGAATTCTACCCAGAACCACAAGGGCAAACTCTAGGGACTCTAGGGATAAAAAGCCAGAAAGCAGCCAGTCATCAGTGGCTCACTCCAGAAATCCTAGTTATTCAGAAGGCTGAGATCTGAGGATTGCAGTTTGAAGCCAGGAGGCAGGAAAATCTGCAAGCCTCTTTTCTCCAATTAAGCACCAAAAAAAGGCCAGAATAGAGCTGTGGCACAGGACTACGAGCTCAGCTCAGTGGCCCAGCAGGTGCATAGCAGATACAAGGTCCTAGGTTCATACCCAGCAACCCTAGCCTGCCCCCCCAGAAAAACAAAAAACAAAACCAACCTTGAGCCTGAGTGGTTCCTGTGGACTTTCTGTGAAAGAGACAATCTTTCAGCCACTGACAGGTTGAACCACTGCTTATTCATGGCTGCCTCTATTCCCAAGTCATACAACCCCTCTAAGACATGGTATGACCCCTTCTTACTTACCCATACCCCAAGGCTCACAGTGTGTTCCCTTCAACATCTAGTGTATAATGGTTGAGTGGGCCAACTTCCAAACCTTTCCCACCCACTCTAGTGGGACTTAAGCCCACACCTTCCACCAAAGACCATCTGATGGCATCAATATGCCATGAAACCCATGCTTTTTGGCTCTAGGTACATCCTGCCTGGGTCTCCTTCATCTTGCTGGGCCTGTCATCTCTCTTCCTGTCCATCTGCTAAATCTTGCTATCTAGGATTCCTTCTGTCTGTATTCTTCCCTTGTGCCCTCCTGCACCATCCCTGGGCAGACCAAGATTGAGAGCTTCAAACCTAGGGTTCATGCTTTTCTGAACATACATAAAATCAAGTTTTAGTAACTGGATGTGAATCTATATGTGAATACTTACAGAATTGTTATGTATAATAGTGAAAACCGGGCTGGGAAGGTGGCTCAGTGGTAGAGTACTTGCCTTGCATGCCTGAGGCCCTGGGTTCGATTCCTCAGCACCACATAAGCAAAAAGGAAAAAGCCGCAAGTGGCGCTGTGGCTCAAGTGGTAGAACGCTAGCCTTGAGCTGAAGAGCTGAGGGACAGCTCCCAGGCCCAGAGTTCAGGCCCCACGACCGGACCCCCCCCCAAAAATAGTGAAAACCCCCAAACAATTCAGAAAGCCTGAAGTGGGTGAATGCTTAACGTGTGCAACACCCACACTGTGGAAGGCTGGGCAATAAAAAGAAGCAAATTACAACTTGAATGGGAGCTGTGGAAGTTGCAAAAAGTGAGTCCCAAAGGCTATATGCTTAGACAGGTGTTGGTGGCTCACATCTGCAGCCCTAGCTACTCAGAAAACTGGAATCTAAGGATCACAGTTCAAAGCCAGCCAGGGCAGAAAAATTTATGAGACTCATCTCCAATTAACCAGTAAAAGGCAATTTCTGGAGGTGTGGCTCAAATAATAGAGCACCAGTGTTGAGCAAAACAAACAAACAAATACACACAAAAATCCAAGAACATGGGGCTGGGAAGATGGCTCAGTGGTAGAGCACTTGCCTTGCATGCATGAGGCCCTGGGTTCGATTCCTCAGCACCACATAAGCAGAAAAAAAAAACTGGAAGTGGTGCTGTGGCTCAAGTGGTAGAGCGCTAGCCTTGAGCTGAAAAGCTGAGGGACAGCACCCAGGCCTAGAGTTCAGGTCCACGATCGGACCCAAAAAAATAAGTAAATAAATAAATAAATAAAAGATTTCCTTAAAAAAAGAAATCCAAGAACATGAGACCCTGAGTTCAAGCTCCAATAGTGGTACAAAAAAAAAAAAAAGGTTATGTGCTTTAGGAGTCTACTGTTGTACTCTTGAAAAAAAGTTGTTTCTATTTATGTGGTATTAGAGATTGAACTCTGAGCCTCATACATGGTGTTCTACCACTAAAAGCACATCTCCAGCCCCTCCCTTTATTTTTTGCTGGTTCTGGGGCTTGAACTCAGGGCCTGGGCACTGTCCCTGAGCTTCTTTTTGGTCAAGGCTAGCACTTGAGCCACAGCACCACATATGACCTTTTCTGAGTAGTTTATTGGAGATGAGTGTCTCATGGATTGTCCTGCTTCAAATGGTGATCCTCAAATCTCAGCTTCTTGATTAGCTAGGTTTACAGGCGTGAGCCATAGTGCCCAGCTCCAGCCCCCCACCTTTTTTTTTGGTTGGTCGTGGGGCTTGAACTCTGGGCTTGGGCACTGTCCCTGCCTTTTTCAGCTCAAGGCGAGCGCTCTACTGCTTAAGCCACAGTGCCACTTCTGGTTTTCTAGTGGTTTACTGGAGATAAGAGTCACACAGACTTTCCTGCTCGGCCTGGCTTTGAACTGAGATCCTTAGATCTCAGCCTCCTGAGTAGCTAGGATTACAGGCGTGAGCCACCGGCACCCGGCTGTCCAGCCCCTTTTTGTGTGGTTATTTTTCAGGTAGTTGTCTATGACAACTTGGGCTAAGATCCTGCCCAGAGGGGCTCGAGTTACTGGCCTCTGAGCTTAGCCATTGTGCTTTCCCCCCAAATGAGATGACAGGAACATACCACTATACCCAGACATTGGTATCACTATATCCAGACATTGGCTGAGATAGTCTTACAAACGTATTTTTGCCCAAGCTGGTTTTGAACTACAATCTCCCAATCTTTGTCTCCCAAATAACTAGGATTGCAGGCCTGTGTCACTTTCACCCCCAACTCAAAATTCTAAACAAGATTCACAGTTGCCAGGAGTCTGGGAAACTGGGAAAGAGGAGGGAAGAACAATAGCTGAACACTAATTGGACAATAGCAGGTCAAGGTGGAGCTAAGCGGTATTGACAGGTAGAGAGTGAATACTCTAGTGTTACAAGGTGTTATCCCTGGGAGAAACTGAGGAAGGATTCTTGGGATCACCCTTTTTCTTTTTTTTTTTTTGCCAGTCATAGGGCTTGAATTCTGGGCCTGGGCACTGTCCCTCAGCTCTTCAGCTCAAGGCTAGTGCTCTACCATTTGAGCCACAGTGCCACTTCCAGTTTTCTGGTGGTTTATTGGAGATAAGAGTCTCATGGACTTTCCTGCCCAGGCTGGCTTTGAACCGTGATCCTCAGATCTCAGCTTCCTGAGTAGCTATGATTGTAGGAATAAGTCACCAGTGCCCAGCTTCTACAATTTCTTATGATTTTCTGTACGTCTATAATTTCTTATGATTTTCTGTACGTCTATAATTTCTTATGATTTTCTGTACGTCTATAATTTCTTATGATTGCCTGCTGAGATTCCTAAACCAAAATTCAAAATAAAACACCAACTGTCTAAAACTGTCACCATAATTGTCATCCCTCGCCCCCTATGTCTGTTCCTTTCAAACATAGCCCTGGGAGGCACCTCATCATTCTTCCTCCCCTTATTTCTCCCCCGTCCATTTCTAGACCTTTCGCAAATCTAGGTTATTCTGTTTCCCAAATACATCAGAAATCTACTCTTTCATCCTCTCTGATGTCCTTTAGCCAAGGCCAAGATCAATTCTCAACCTGGGAAGGCTCCTCACTCACCTCTTGTCTGTCAGGCTGGCCCTCTCCCGTCTGTTTCTGATGCAGCCCAGGGGGTGAGAGAACTTTATAAAACATACATCAGCTTGTGTGGTCCCCTGCTGAAAACCTTTTCTTATCTCCACACTGATCCCAAGATAAAGTTCAGAGCTTCATCCACACAGTGGAGGCCTTGGCATGTGGGGGACTGGTCCCCACATGAACCGTGAATCCTAGGAGATCAGGCTCTCTCAGGGCTTTGCAAATGCCATTACCTCTGCCTGGGTCCCTTGGGCATCCTCTCCCCTGGATCTCCAGTTCTGCTGCCCTTTCCTCACCAAGAAGGCATCTTAATGTCCTAGGGAACTGACTACCCTTTATTTATTTTTGGTGCTGGGGGTGGAACTCAGGGCCCATGTATACTAAGCATGTAATCAAACACTGAGCATCTCCAGCTGATTTCTCATTTAATTTCATTACTCATGACACGAACATATTCTTGCAATAAATAGTCAACAATGCAACTAAAGAAAAAGTAGGTCCTTGGGGAGCCCCTCTCCCCCATTCTGACCCTCCACACCCATCACTCTGCAGCTTATCACCGTGGAGCTAATCTTCATCTGTTTCCCCCCACCCCCAATGTTGGTTGTATAATTTCTCCATATTCTCGCAGTAGGGAGAGGTTCCTGTATCTTGCTAAGTGTTTGTGCTAAGTGAGATTCCTAAAACGGAACCCCTTGTAGTTGGGGGCCGCTCTGATCCTCCAAGAAAACGAAGTGGCTGAGAGCTTTTGTTTCGTTTTGTTAGTAGTGGGGCTTGAACTCAGGAGCTGGGCTCTGTCCCTGAGCTCTTCAGCTCAAGGCCAGCACTCTACCTCTTTGAACCACACCGCCACTTCCGGCTTCCTTCTTGTTACTTGGAGCTAAGAGTCTACAGGCACTTTTCTGCTGGGGCTGGCTGATCCTCAGCTCTCAGCCTCCGGAACAGCTAGGATGACAGATCTCTGAGACCTGCAGGACTCAAATCGGTCAGTGCAGCCCACTTGCACTGTGCATGCCAGCTGCACACCTGTCTCGGCACAGCCCTCCACGAACATTCTCGAGCCTGTATCCGCAGCATCTACTTCGTGTACCCGACCCCACTCCCCAGCAGGTGTACACGGAGGGGCTCGAGGTGTGCTGCCTCCCACAAGCTTGCAGATCCCAGCACACAGTCGACACTGGGTAGTGTTCGGGGGGCTTGGATCTGAGAGCACCGCGCCGGGCACAAAGCGGTCTCCTTTCTCCCTCTGCATTTAAAACTGATGCCTGGGCGGGGAGAGGGGGTGCGCGCCCAGGGTCGGCGGGCTTGGGTCTGGGGGCTCAGCGCAGGGAGTGCACGCAGGCGGCGCCTCTCTCCTGCAGATTTAAGACTCTACATCCAGCAGGAGACACACAATGTACTTCGGAGAAGTTCCCGAGGTGAGGGCGTCGGGTTCCACCGACCCGGCCGCCCCGACCTCCCCGCCCCTCCCCGGCCCGCCGGCCGGCGCGCGCGCAGCCTCGCGGCCGCCCGGGTGCGGCTGTTCTCGGCGGGATCACCCTCCCGCGGCCGCCCCCAGGCCCCGGGCTGCTCCGGCCCTGCGCCCTCCTCTCCGCGCTGGGCTGGCCAGCCTCGCTTGTTCCGCGCCCAGGGTCCCCCGCAAACAGCCTCTATCCCCCCCAAGCTGCTCCGGGTCTCATGCTCCCCGGCTGTTCCGGGCCTCGAAACCCACCCCCCAGGCCTCCCTTCCCGGCTGTTCCGAGCCCGGACCCCACCCCCAGCCTCCACACCCCGGCACTTCCCGGCCGGCTGTCCCCAGCAAACAGCCTCTACCCTCCGGCTGTTCCGGGTCCTGTACCCCCCACCCCCGGCCTCCGCTCCCCGGCTGTTCCGGGCCTCGA